GAGCTCTGCGAGCCCTTCGCTGTGGACTGATTTTTAGACTTTTTTTCTGTTCCGAAATTATTTCCCAGTTAGACTTTCTGCTTTGCAGATCTGGTTGTTTCCTTTAAATGTGTTTATCGTCGGTTGTTTTGTATGTTCTTTGCTTGTCATTTGTTTCCAGTGGCATGATCTGTCTGGTCTCTGCTCTCAGTTGGACTGACTCAGTTAATAAACAGGAGGAGGGAAGATGGGATGCTCGTGGCTGTATCAACTCTTGCTGTCAGTCGTCTTAGAAGCGCATTCGCGTCGGTATTTGCAAGGCTTCTGCTTTCGCGAGTCTTCCCTTCAGCTAACTGCTGTGCGTAGAGGCATCAGAAGTAACGCGCTAGCGACCGACAGGCCCGTTCCTGTCACCGACGTACCTGCCTCGCTCCAGCTGCTGCCGCGCTGATGTTGTCTTGCACCACGTACATACAAGTTGTCGTCGCTGTAGATACGACTGTTGTTTCCAGTTTGTGTAAATGCGCAGACATGAATAAAAGCTGAAGGCTAAAGACCTCTACATGTGCCATGAAATGGAAAGAAGTGAAATAGACTGTTTGTAACCCAAAGTGTGACGTCTGAAAGAAACGCGGATGTGCACCTAAAGGGCCTGTGGCATAAAGTGATTTTTCCTCAGCAGTTTTAAAGGAAATCATTTCGTGTACCAGCAGGTTCTCAACCCCTTTGCATTTTGGCAATGGGATAAAAGATAATCCGTGGGCCATATAGCTCAGAAAGAGGCAAGTGTTTAAAAATGAGACACTTTCAGGTATAAATATATCATTGCTGCGCAAAGAATATATTTTTACAGTACCTAGTTACGGTCCCATGACAGGTTTCAGGTCCTATGCACACAAAAATAACAAATCACTTTTTTTCACTGAAGTGGGATGAAGGTCGTGTGCTTTTCTGAAGAAAAAAACCCATGAATGATAGCATTTCTGCAGGTAGTACCCTTTTAAAGATGTTGATCCTTAATTTTAGGTGACTAAGGGGCATTGACAACTGGAAACTCTAGCAATAATTAGTACAAAGGATTCTGGACCTCTGACACTGTGGCTGCCTCATGTTATTTTTGATCTCTGACAGCGAGTCGGTGTGCTTGCTCATTGTACAGCTTGGGCAGTAGAAGTTGTTTTGAAAATGGTTTATGAAAATTATATTTATGAAATAAAACTTTCACTTCTAGTGGAGTCATTGTTTTAATTATTTAAATGTTAGGGGAAAATACGGCAGTGAGAAGCAAGGCTTGCTGCTCCACATGCCCACGCCACGGAGGAGCAAGGCCGGAGATACGTTCCCAGCAGGTGTGTGCACACACCACCTATGTATGTGGCCACCTACGCTGCGCTCAGACAAGCGGGAGCATGGACATGGGTGTGGAGAGCACGTGTGACCTTACCTTGCTGCTGTCCTGGCTGGAAAGGCACCAGCCTCTAAGGAAGAAAGCCCCACAATTTGTATATACACACACACACTGTCTTGGGGAGGGTCCCTCCAGCAGCTGCGCTCAGCCAGTTGGCATGGAGCCCACGCTGAAGGCCGGCACAGGCTGCCTTCCCTGTTCCTCAGCAACAAATGTAACCCAGAGGTCAGTCACCTGTTGCCCAGCACAGCCATGTCCTTGCCCTGTTCACGGCTCCGTCAGCTCACAGGTGTCCCAGGCAGCTTCCTGCTCCTCGCCTGATGGTCGGGTTTATCGTCCTGGCTCCTGCCCGTTGTCCGCTGAACTCCTCAAGGGAGGAGAGCTTGAATGTTCACGGGCTGAAGACAGATAAGTTCAGCGAGGGAAGAGCTGTTAATGTCATGTAAAGCACATACTGCACAGTTGGGCAGCTTTTGTTACACTGAGACCTCGACAACAAGGTATTGGCAGAACTTTCAAAAGCCAGGGGCTGAGTTCTGTACCGGTTCAGCTGCCCAGACGCAGGTTTCCGTTACAGGTGGCTGTTTAAAGCCTTCAGAGCAGAACTCCAGTTAGTGCTCAACTACGCAAAAGCCTTCAGAGCAGAACTCCAGTTGTTAGTGCTCAACTACGCGGCTACTTCTCCCTGTTGGTACTCAACAGCCAGCTAAGCAGCATCACAAAGCCAAGGCCTGTTTCTGCTAGACCATGTTATCATTTATAATGTATTTAATAGTGTGGTGGTCTCTCTGAGAGCTCAGCAGACGGAATGGCATCACGGCTTTAAAGCCCAGTCACTGTACCATACCCAAAATCTAGAGACTTCTGGCAACATTCAGTTTAAATAAAGTGTGAATGACAAAAGTTCATTACCTTGCTTAGGTAAGGATGGCTCAGTACATTTTCATTGTAAAACAGGTCTGAAGCAATCCCTAAGTTACTCATGAATGGGTGGATCAGTAAAAAGATTCACTTACGTACGGTGGTCTCCAACCTTCCCACAAGAGCCCTGCGCGTGGCGGCTTCCTTCGTGTGCTGGGGGGGTCAACGCCGCACAGCTGGGAAAGAACTCCTCCGTTTCCTATTCCCACAGATTCAGAATAAGCAGTAAGCAAGGTGTTACAGCAGTTCTCAGATCCCTCCCCCAAAACCCAAAGGACTTACCGCCAACGTGTATTTCATGCAGAACACCAGTATTCCATACTTCTGCTTTCCCTGCCCAAAAGCACATTAAGAAGTCCAACAAATAATACACTGAAGCAAGGCATGAGAAGACTTAGTCATGGCAATTTCACTGGAGCTTTATTGCCTCTGTTGGTAATGAGAGGGATTGTAAGAAGTTACATTTGAACTTACAGAGATATGTAAATGACGTTTTTTTACTAAATATAATCTCGAGATTAAGTGTTTTATATCAGGGCACTTCTAATTTCGTACATATTTAAGGTATAAAAACAGGTTACAAACTTGATGTTTGCCTTTTTTCTCTCCACATTTGGCAAAATTAAACTGATTCGCGGAAGGGGAGATCATCAAATTGGAGACATAAGCACTTACGAATTAAAGCAATCCAAGTAAGCAACTGTCTGCATTCTTAAACAGAAGAATAAACCCACACAAATAGATAAAGGAAAACACACATGGCCACACCTGCGCACGTTGCGATACAAAAGATTCCCTGTAACCAGGCATTTTGTCCTTGGAACAACACCCTGTTAAATCAGTGTTTCTTTCAACTTCAGTCACTCGTCTTGAAAAACTTTTTAAGATGCCATCATAGCACAAATAACCCTTTTCTGCAACATAATTAGTCAAAGGCGTACGTATTTCTTTATAATTACACAGTAATTATAAGCATGTAGTACCAAACTGATGACAACACTCGTTTGTTGAAAAGGTCTTGAATTCAAAAGGAATATTCTTTAAAACACGGCAGCATTATGCCACGACCCAGTCGCAGACTTTTTTGAGAGACAAGTCTGTGTTGGGATAAAAAAGCAAGTCAGTTCTCCCCTGCAAACACAGCATACTCCAACTAATCATTTCTGCAACTGTACCAAACCCTCGAGACAGAAAACAGCACGCATAGATACCTTCAGAGCTTTTTTTCTACCTCCCCCCCAGAAGTTCAAGTCCCCATTTGTATTTACACAAAACTGAGAAAGGAAATACTGAAAGCAGCCAGCCAGGCTTCTCTTGGCATAGCCAATTCCAGCAGCTGGAGAAAGCTTGCCTGGTTTTGTGGAACTGTATCCTTCAACTAACCGCACAACTGGATTCCCTTAAGAGCACGGCTGTAAGGGGAGCGAGCCTAACGGTCCACTGCAGAGAAAACAAATCGAACATTTTTAGCAGTTTAATACTAATTTTGTTCCTAAAATTCTTGTAGCGTCTGTAGTAAGTGTTCTGCTGTTTAGTGCAAGTACCAGTTACTCATTTCAACGCTAATTCTGGCCTCACCACGGGACTCTCCAGAGCACGGACTGAAACCTCTATCCTTACTTGTAGCTACAGTCTCTTTTTTTCCCTGGAGCTTGGGGTTTCCCAGCTTGTTTCACAGCATAGTATTCAGCAAATCTTTTCCCAAGGAACAGAGGAGTAAAAGGCCAGGTTCAGCACAAAAGCAGCTCAAGAGCTCTTGTAATATTAAAATCAAAAAGAGAACTGCATCTGATAAAACCTGTTTTGAACAAAACAAACGATTTGGTTGCGTGCAGCAAGACGGTCAGTCGCGCTGGATGGATCAACAACATAATTTAAGCAAAGAAAGCCAGCGCAGTATTTCTACCTGATCTGTGCTTGTTTGGGAAAGCCTTACTCTCTGTATTTGGCAACCACAGTGATATGTCAATCTAAGGAAAGCTCAACGAAACAATTAAAAGATGGGCGTCATCCATAACGGCAGTACCTGTACGTTACAAAGATTTAACGTCTTTCTCAGGATAATGGTTTCAAAAACCTAGATCCAACTCCCCAGCTTCTCGTACAACAGGGCCATTTGTTCTGTCACACCTCAACCATAAAAATTCCACGTCTCAATCTAAAATCCTGTGTTGTGTAGCAAACATTTAAGACACAAATTCAGTATATTCAAGTTTTAGATTTCCACAGAAACGAAAAACCTTTCTTTGACAGACAGATAAGCATTTCAAAACTGCACTGAAATCTCGAGGTCTTGGATAATAACCGAGAGGGTATCAGACTCTGTCGGGACGCACACAGCTGCTCCCCGTGGGGCTCACCGAAGGCCGACTAGAACATGGGACGTGGGGGCTGTAAGTGCACAGTACTCGTGTCGTACTTCACCCGTTCTCACGGCCAGCTGATGCACAATCAAACCATTCAGGCAGGCACCCAGATACCCCCGTATCGACAACCTTGGGTTTCCGTGGTTATTGGTTTTACCCGACACTCAAACTCCCTTAGACGATACCTGTACTTTTCCAGCAAAGAGGAAAAATAAAATTACCGGACCCAGTACACTTAAATATATCACTCTCACAGGAAGTGCTATCGATACAGTCCTTACAACCAGCCCCAAGTGTACATTTAAGGATTCTTTTAAAAATCGTTTTGAAGTTGATCTGTGTAATTCGGAAGCCGTACAACAGTTGATGATGACCAGCATTGTGCTTTATGTGAAACCAGGAACCTCAACATAATTACAAAGCTTCTAGGACTTATGGGAGATGAAACTAGGGTGGTCCACCAAAAAAAAAAAAAAAAAAAAAAATCCATGATGAAATCCACAATGTTGGAATTTTGATGGGCAAGAGTGGTCCAGACTAGAAGAAAAGCCCAAACCACCAGTAGAAGAATGACATATGATATGGTCCAAGATGTATCCTTAAAGGTTTGTCTCAACCCTCAGCCATATTGTGAGGATTGATCTTCAGTTCAGTCCAGCCAGCAGAAATTGACTGTGCAATTTTCCATTTCAGGTATTTGTACAGACTATGTACACTCTAGAAGGGTCCTTTAGTGCTACACTGTCGTACTTTTTGTCCCAGCAATTTGAGGGCGTGCAAATTCCACAAAGTCATCGATAAGAACTGGCCAAGCCCCTAAAATTAAAAAAAAAAAAAAAAGACCAGAAGAACTCAGTTCAACAAGGCATTCTTTTTCAAGCTTCAGCTCTAAGTTAGTCATTTTCCAGTCATATCTAGGCAGAGTTTCAAGCAACTGTAATTTGATTTTCTTGCTTGAAATTTAAGAGCTGGTTAAAGATTCCTACTTCCTTTAAACCCAGTTAGTACACATCCCTTTCAGGGGCCATACTTCCTTCATACTCCTGACCAACACAAGACAGAATGAAAGCAAACAGCTGACAAAAAAAATCTAGCTTAAAGCTGTCCTGCTTTGGGCACCAGAACTTGATCCCAAGGATGGCAATAGCTGCTTAACGAGCGCCGAACACTGCATGATGCGGTTTGAGCTGTACGCAGCGACATCGGAACGCACTGCAGCATTTTCTGCTCGCAATTCGATTTTGCACAAATGCAAACCCCATCTGTGCAGCTCGGCGCGCTTGGCCATACCCGAGAACTGCAGAATGCACTCCGACAGCCAGCAGTCCAGTGTAATGCCCAAGGCTGGTAGTACACCACACGTACTCTTCCATATTCCTTACAGTTTGCGTATCAGGACCTTACACATTAAGGGCAGCCACATCCAAAGAGGTTCCCACTCAAGCGCGTGACGGCCACGTGAAGGTTAAAAACAACTGTGGGCTGGGGCTTTCCCGCCTCCCCTCTTAAAATATCTATCTTCCAAATCATTAAACACGCTTTCTACCTTTAATCTGTCTAAACTACATTGATTCATTGCGGGCAGCAGCCCATTTGCTGGGTAAGGGAATGATTCCTATCCGTAATTATGAACGAAAGTTGCGGAAGTTTGCTCTGGAAGTATCAGAAGTTTACGGTCTCCTCCGCTCCCTGAACTGATCTGCCGCCAACAACTGAAGGTAATTAGCTGTTCTTGGCTACAGAGGGGCCGGAAGAGGAAAAATCAAGACAAAAGTTTACAAGAAACACATTTGGTAGGAAATAACATACATGCAGCAACCCCGGCACACTGCCAGCTTCCCTGTAATATTACTGCGTGTCCAATCTCCGCACACACCGAACCAACCAACCAGAAAATACTCTGAGTGAGAAACGCAACAACCAGGGGCCCTACAGAGACATGCATCAGTCGGTCAGCTGGAGATGCCAAGAACTGCGCTGACAATGTTTTAAATGGACAAGTTTTGGGGTTTGTCTCGATACGCAAGAATTGGTGTTTGAGCTCAGACAGGGGAAAAAAAGAAAACGGATTTAAGACAGTTTCAGCATTCCTTTTTTAAACCTGCAGCGATAAACAGATGACAACCACAGGCATTAAGGCAGCTCTACCGGAACTTCAGATCACCAGTGACACTCTAATTATGCTGCTATTAGGCAGCTGGGCCAAAGCAGATACACCATAATAAAAGTAGCATAAAACACAGATGGTAATGGAATAAAATGGAAATGTTTACCTTCCTCATCATAGTTAGACATATCATCTGCTATCATTGTACTAAAGTCTAGAAGAAGGTTCCAGGTATCCTTAGGAATTGATCTTTTATGATGTTCCTGTTTGGACAGGTGGAAAATTTATGTTTAAAAAAAGATAAATTAGAAAATCCTTATACACATTCATTTTTACTGTCCTGGACACATCCATATCCCCAGAACATACACTCCTCTTACACACACCATGAAGTGTGTAAACATTTTTATCTTCCCAGTTTTGAAAACAAACTGCACTCCAGTTTATGTAAAGATTTAAACTTACCAACAAAAACTTGTTCCACAAGTCTAGAAATTTAAATCTTCCGTTAAGTACTAAATTCCAGTAGGCAATGGCCATTTCTAAATCTGTAATATTAAAATATATTACTTTCAGAGATATGCATTTCAAATTTATCATCTCCACAGGTACCTAACAGTAAGATGAACCACTCATTCCTGAAGGTGAAAAGATTACTCTAATGCAAATATACTCATGGATCCTTTACAAAAAGGCAACCATAAATAAAGTGTTACACGAATATTTTATAGGTTTTGACACTATCACTCAAACACAGAAGATCTGAAAATTGCCCACGTTAAGATCTGAAATATCCAAACACACAGATATATATATAACAATACTACAGTTCAAATACAGTGAAAAATTTGTAGTATTTTGTAGTAAAATCTGCTTTTATCTTTTTTAATATATAAAATACAATTTACATAGAACTAGCTTTTTATTATTTCATTTTTAGAGCAACCTCTTTACAGGTGCTGGCTTTGCACCACGACTTTTGCTGAGCATTCATTTCTGCCATCAGGTTTCCTTCTGAAACATCTCCAAGTCCTGTACGAGCAGATGGTTGGTAGTCGGGTTTGGATGGGTTGGGGGTTTTAGGGGTTTTTTTTGTGGGTTTGGGGTTTTTTCTCTCCCCCTCAAAGATTCCTGTTAAGTTCTTGTTTGTTTTGAGCGTTTCTCAGGACAACTGAGAAACCCGAACCGACACGGTTCGGGAAGAACCTGCTGCCCGCCTGGCAACTGTGTGCGGCTGTCAGCAGCGGGGGTGCCGCGGTGGAGCTGTCAGGAGAGACTGGTTAGCCTAGCACGGAGGGGAAAACACCCTCACCTCCCTGGTACTCGCCAAAGGCTAAACTGACGTGCATTTGCTGTTCATTGGCAGCGTACGGCCGTAACATGTCAGCTGACAGAAGAAAGTTGTGTATCTGAGCTCTGCATCTCTCCGGCGTGTGATCTCCGTTACCCGGAATTAACGAGGACCTCTGTCCTGTGGAACAAAACGCTACCGACTCTGCCTCACGGCGTTCAGCGCCCATCACCAAGTACATACGTAACCCCAAAAGGCTGCCTCGCTGAGCGACCTCTGTTTTAAGAGAAGCTCATTTGGCTGGCTAGCAAATCTCTCCAAAAACCATAAACAATCCTCTCGTGAGAGAAGAGAGAAGCGACACATGATCCACTGCACCTCAGGGAAACAAGAAAAAACACGACATGACCCAAGAAAACCGCTCCCTTCCTCACATGCCCGAACTACGTCAGAAAACTGGGAGGTGGATCTTAGGGGTGAAATCAGTAGCAAACAAAACAAAGCATCAACTCCGCGTTGCTGGAAGGAGAAAGGACGGTGATGGGGGGAGTTTAGGAGTGGTTTAATATCTTTGATATTAAAAATTCTTCTCAAACAGCACATTCACATTATAATGCTTCCTGACCGAAGTGAAGCATAAAATCCGAAGTGAAGCATAAAATCCGTAGAGGCTTTTCCAGCGACTGCAAAGGGGGTGATTTCAGACAAAAGCGTGAGTTTTGAGAAACAGACTGACTGAAGAGAAGTCCCGACTCCTCAGTAAACAAGCTGCACGTGAAAATGACAACTTAGTGAGGAGTGTAAAGGCAAGGCATCTCTTTAATGGAAGATGCAGATACCAAAACACGCACTTCAGCTTTCAACTGTCTTGCTACAAGTGAACAGATAAAGCCACTCAGTTTAAGCTGATCCAATCCTCAAGGAAACAGCTCAGGAAAGCAAGCTTCATTTGCTGGTGATGCGTTAATACCAGGCATACCAATAAAATGCAAGGTCATCATATGTTGTGCGTATTTACAGTGGTTTGTAAACACACCCTGTAAACAAACTGTGCGTTTCAACATGCTTATGCAATTTTGAGATTGTTTTTTAAGGAAAGGCCTTTGCTTACCCACAGGAATAATCTCAGGATGCTGCAACCTCAAACTCATTATGTGAGTGCAAACATGTAAAGCACGAAGACATAATGCCTTCGGGCAAACCACATGTTTTTCAAGAAATTTTATGAAATCACAA